TTTATAGAATGATCCGGAAAATGAGCTCTTAATCTTATAATTTGAGCAAGGAGTTTAGCAAATGCTAGATTTCTAGTCGATAACAGGCTGACATGTGACCAACGTGTTGAAGCATCAATCAACACTATAAAATATTGAAATGGTCCACATGGTGGGACTATCAACCCACAAATATCTCCTTGAATCCTCTCTAAAAATGCAGGTGATTCAGTTGCAATTTTGTTTATAGATGGCCTGATGATCATTTTGCCAAGCGAACAGACCTTACAAGGAAAATCACTTGATAATGGAATCCTGATATTCTTTAATGGATGTCCAAGTGAAGTCTTAATGATTTTATGCATCATTACCTGGCCTGGGTGACCTAAACGGTCATGCCACAACATGAATATATTCTGATCATCTAACTCTGTGTTAGAAACCAAATTTATTTCGAATGGACTAATATGAGTGAAATATAGTCCTGAGGAATATGCTGGCATTTTTTCACAAATACATTTAGTGCCAGATTTAGTTGTCGTTAGACAAAGATATTCCTTTTGGTTTTCATTCACGGTTTCTATGTGATAACCATTTTGACGCATATCTTTAAAACTTAATAAAGTCCTTCACGATTTGCTGGAGTATAAAGCGTCATTTATAATTATTTTGGTCCCGTTAGGGAGTATCACATATGCTTTCCTAGAGCCTTCAATGAGCTTCGCAACACCTGATATTGTATTGACTTTAGCTTCAACTAAAGTCATTTGAGAAAAAATATATTTTATTTCTCAGAATGGTGTGCGTTGTGGCTCTGTCTATCAGACATAGCTCTTTATTATTTGAGTGATCCATATCTTCAATATATATAAATAAACATAAGTTTGATCACAAATTGTGCATATTATTTAACATAAGAGTACATACATTACACACATTTGTTTAAAAACAAAATAAAAAGGGGAAGAAAGAAAAAGTACATAAAACTAGTATTATACAACATAAGGAGTCTACTATTTCAATTCATTTTGTAACATTTTGATTTATGGCAAAAGCATCGTCCATAATGACATCATCCGCGAAAAAGTCGGACACGTCAAATTTTGGCAGAGGTGGAGTTGTGTCATTGACATAATTAGCTTCCATATTTTTGGCTTTGTTGAGATTCATGGAAGCTTTAAATAACTTCACTAGATGTTTAGCCGTACGACATTTATTAGCCCAATGTCCCGTCATGCCACATTTATAACAAGTCGATTTTCCCGAGAATTTTGGAGGGCGATTTATTTGATGGGCTTTTTGTTTGCCCTTGCCCTTATAATTTGGTCTTTCGACCTGTTTGTATTCTCGGTGTGACTTGTTTTTATGACCATTGTATCCCTTCTACTGTCACTGTATGTTGCATTTGATTCAGTGGCTAAATTATTGCCAGATGGACCATAAACCGAAGGACTAGAACCAGTGGGTCTCAGATTATGATTTTTCATCAAAAGGTCATTATTTTGCTCAGCTGCCAATAATACCGATATTAAGTCGGAGTATTTTTTAAAACCCTTTTCTCTATATTGATGTTGTAGTAGCATATTAGAAATATGCATTGTAGAAAAGGTTTTCTCCAACATATCAACATCAGTGACTTTTTGTCCGCATAACTTTAATTTAGATGTTATTTGGAACATGGCAGAATTATAGTCACTGATTTATTTAAAATCCTGGAATATTAAATTGATCCAGTCGTACTGAGCTTTAGGCAAAAGTACCTTTTGTTGATGGCCATACCTCTCCTGTAAATTGTCCCATAATTCTTTTGGGTCATCAACCAAAAGATATTCAGATTTGAGACTTTTATGGAGATGGTGACGGAGAAAAATTATAGCTTCCGCTTTATTCTGGGAAGATGATTGATTAATAGCCTCAATAGTGTCTTCGAGACCATTAGCTTTCAAATGTGCTAAAGCATCAACTTTCCATTCCAGGTATTTTTGACCAGACAGATCAAGAACGTCGAATTCTCATTTGCTTATGTTTGCCATTGGACTACAAGAAATCATTAATATAAAGTTTATTAATAAGAATGGTTATTTTTTGTTTTGTGATGTTACTAATCAATCTTAATAGTTGTTTGTGTATGTACTTATTTCGTATTTATACTTAATTTTAACTTCTGGTAATAAAAAAACGTTCAGAAGGTATTTATAGTTGATATAGTAGTTGATAACTAATTTGAATTTCAAATGTGCATACTTATACTTACAACATTAAAATTTTAAATTGAAATAGCTTTGGATAAAACCAAATACATGGATAATTAAAAACTGAAAGTTGTCAGCTATGTGTCTCAAGTAGTACAGATGATCACAAGTACATCTTTATTAATAGGACAAAAGTAACCGATCAAAAATTTAAAATCAGCCATTCATTTAGAGTCATGTGACTATCCATTGTTTTTAGTTGATCGGCTTATATACACTTTGTTCACGGATAGTTCTCCTCGTTTTGTTTAGTTCATACTACGTATTATCTTTGAGTACTTGTTATTATCTTCTTCGTATTCTGCATATTCCTCATATTACCATCTCCCATCTATCTTGCTAAGCTATTAAATCTTTCCTTCTTTTAAAACTCTATTACGGAGTATTGGACTATTGGTATCCTTAAGCCAAGTATTTTGATTGAAGCCAAATTCTCATTACGTACAAGTCAGGAGTGTTTATCAGTTATCACTCTAGGGGTGTATTCATTTTCTTTCTTTTATGAAGGGTTTATTCAGATGGAGAAATAGTTTAAAGGTACGTATAATTTCTTTTACTATATGAAGCGGAGCTAGGAGTTTATTTTCAGACAAAAAGTGAATATGTATTTCATATTTCAATACTAGAAGAATATATAATGAATATTGATGCCTAAGACCTGCAGGAGACAAAGATTGCTGAAGATTTTGAGCTGATTCGTGCTGAAAACGTGTTGTGAAATGAAGAAGATGAAGGGCAAATTTATGAGATAGAAATAGATAAAAAAACCTCTAAATTACTTCTTCTTAATATCTGAATATTTTCTAAATTTCTGAGTACATTTACAAAGGATTGATCACCCTATTTATACTAATTGGCTAGGAGATGAATCATCAAAGAATTATTCTACATAATCTGCTGGAAATATTAAACCTAGCCATCTGTCTATTACAAGGATGAAAATTGGATTAGTATCCTGATGACAAGGATGAACAATTCACACTCGTCATTCTCAAGATTTTACAACACAAACCACAAATAAAATTAATAAAAAACACAAATATTAGTCTCCAAAATCACCAAGAATTCAAATCCAAAGAAAACAATTATCATAGTATTTTGTTTAAGATGCTATAAATAATATAAGTGTTCTAAAAATATTATGAAATAAAATTTATGGATAAAAATGTGACTATGTTACTATAAATATGTTTTCATGATCATTACAGTAAATAAATTGAACATATTTGTAGTCACTGATAGTTATTAAGTCATTTTTCATCCATCATGATTATAATCATATATTAGAAATTAATTTATAAATTATATTGGTATATTTTATTGATTTTATATTAAAGCTAATTAATTCGAGTTTTTATCGATCCGGGCCGGGTTATAGATTTTAGAGCCCGTTAATGAGCTCGAAATTTCGGGTTCGGTCCGGGTTTTTTAATTCGGGCCGGTCAAAAAGAAAAACCCGGACCGATATCATAATTCGGGTCGGGCCAGGGCCGGTTTCCGGGTTTCGGTTCGGTAATAATTAAATAAAGTATTTCGACTGTATTTTGAAAAATAATTTTAATAGACATATATTATAATGTAATTAGTATTGATAATTGTGATGTTACAAATGTATTATTTTTAATATTTAATGGTTAATTTGTCACTTAAGATTGTTAATTGTTTCCTAAAATGGAAATAAGAACCTTTATATGGGACGTCCAAAAAAAGGAAAGTGAGAACCTTCTAATGAGACGAATGAAGTACTGATTACTCTCTCCATTCCTCAATAAACTTCATATTTGACTTTACGATTTTTAAGAAAGTGAAATTTTTACTTTTGACTTTCCCATCATGCCCCTACAAAAGGTGATAAAATGTAGTGGGAGAGATAAAATGAGTGTAAAGTAATAAAGTAAGCGTATAAGGATAACTTTATGTTAAAAACTTGCCAAAAATAGAAGTGTGAAGTTTATTTTGGACCTACCTAAAAAGGAAAGTGTGAAGTTTAAAGAGGAAGTATAATACTCCCTCCATCTAGGGATGGACTCGGGCCGGGTGGCCCGACCCGGAACCGGCCCGGGACCGGTACTGTTCCGGCCCGACCCGGTGACCCGGTCAGTGACCGGTCCGGGTAGGCCCGGCCCGTGGGTTTTCCGGTCCGGGCTCGGGTCACCCAAAACAAGGCCCGACCCGGCCGGGCTCAGGCCCGGTTCGGGCCAAAAACTATTTTTCTTTTTCAATTTTTTTTTAAATTTTTGGGTTGGGTTGGGTATTTTGGGCCATTTGGGATGGTTTGGGGATTGGGGGTGGGAGGGGGGTTAATTAGGAAGAGGAAAACAAAAAAAAATTATAATGGGCCCGGCCCGGCCCGGACCCGGTGGTTACCCGGGCTGGTCCCGGGTCCACCATTTCTGACCCACCGGCCCGCCCGGGCCTAGGCCCGACCCGGACCCGGCTCGGACCCGAGTCCATCCATACCTCCATCCCAATTTGATTTGCAAAATTTTCTTTTTTGGTTGTCCCAAAATGATTTTCCACTTTCTATTTTAGGTGTGTAAATAAGAATAAAGTGACAAATTTGCCCTTACTTTTACTTTTTCCCCATTAACTTAAAGACATCTACTTTTAGAAAGATGGACAAAAGTGTAAAAAGCGAGATCATTTATTGTCATTTCTTAATCCTTGTGTCAGTCAAAGTTTGCAATTCAATTCGGTACGGAGGGAGTACTTTGTAATAATAATTATTATTACTATTATTATTATTATAAAACTAATAGTAGCAACAATGATAAAACTAATAATAATATCAATAATTCTTTATATACTGTTAAAAATAATTTTAAGTGGATAAGTTAAAAACCTGATACAATTTGAACTTCTTTGCTTGGTAATCATTTCATTTAGTTTATAATTTACGGAGTATTATTTAATATGTGATGACATGCTCTGTATATTCTACCATATGCACAACACATGAACATCTCACTTGGTTCTTGTACATCACATGGTCCATGCGTTCACAGATCTCAAAACTAGTAACAACTATATGTAATCTGAACCGCCACCAAAATGCTCCAGATCAGGATGATTTCTGCCACTTCCCGGTCTACTTGGATCCCTGAGCAATATTCAAATAAAATTTACAGTGCTTGGAAGGAGGTATCGCGTGTGGGGGAGGGGGCATGTAAGAAGTCTACCTTGTTTGGATAGAGGTAAAGGAGGTCGAGAAAGGTAAGTGCCTAAGTGGGGGAAACTCTCAACTCCTAGGGCAATCCATTACCTCCAAAATGGAGGAGGGAAATAAATGAAATGCCCTTGTAACTTAATTTGCCTTTTGTCCAATAACTGTTCAACATTGGTTACCAACCTCACATTACATGACATAATTTTACCTCAACTCACCTTACTTCTAACACATATATACCCTAAGTTGTAGGGGTGGGCATAAATATCCGTAACCGATTAACCGTACTAAAATACCATAAAACCGGTGTTTTCTCGGTTAACCGTACCGTGTTTTAGAAAATTTTGCGGTACGGTTAACCAACCGAAAGAGAAAGCGGTACATGGGATGGTTACGGTTTTGAAATATTTCTACCATCGGTTAACCAGTAATCCACCGTTAACATATTATTACTAGTAAACACATGTCACAGCAAACATGTTGCGTGTGTATTGTCTCGTACTGGAAACATTTAGTGTACTGAGTTTTATACTCCGTATGTCGTATAATTAGGATATACGTATACATTTGTATTATTATTGCATTATTACACACCACTGTAATTGCACCCACTTGTCATTCCCATGCAAACTCATTCATGATTTACTCGTATTTTACATCCTTGTTTCTCACATATGTAAGGTACAGAGCATATACACGTGTGCCAAACACTCATGTTGCCTTTATTAGAAACACAATGTGCTTCATAGTTCATATTCAATATAGAAACCAATTTCATACAAGAAACGAATACTCATACTCGTATAAGCTTAAGGTCGTAAATTGAATGAGCAAATGGTTTTTCGGTTAACCAATTAATGGTTAACCTATATTACGGTTTAATGTTCTACGGTTAACCGATGTTATGGTACGGTTAATGATATTATAAACATTCTAACCGAAAGCACGGTTAACCAAAGATTGGTTAACCGAAATGCGGTTAACCAACCGTGCCCACTCCTACTAAGTTGTACCCATAGAACCGGTTCATTAATATGATGACAGATTCATATCCATAGAGTATTAGAGTGTGCTCATATATTTTGCATTTATTACTCCGTATATTATTATAGAATTATGGATCTTTTGAATATATACTACTCTTTGTACAATCCAATGCAAACCTTGTCGGAGTAAGGCTTCTTAAAGGTTTACTGAGAACAGAACAAAAGAGAAAGTGGGATGTCATAGTGTCTTACTGGCATGCCAATTGCCTGCCACCTATGAAGCCATGAAATTCTTACTTCCTCCGTCCCAATTTGATTTGCAAAATTTCCTATTTTGGTTGTCCCAAAATGATTTTCCACTTTCTATTTTAGGTACGTAAATAAGAATAAAGTGACAAATCTACCCTTACTTTTGCTTTTTCCCCATTAATTTAAAGGCATCTACTTTTGGGAAGATGGACACAGGTGTAAAAAAACAAGCATCATTTATTGTCATTCCTTAATCCTTGTGCTAGTCAAAGTTTGCAATTCAATTCGGGACGGAGGGAGTACTTTCTTAGGGTGTTGACGTTTCAGCAAGTTAAAAACTTTTATAAAACCATCAAGAAACTCTAAAGAAACCTTTATTACAAGTGTCTTTCACTTAAAGACTTGTTCACTTGGACTCATTTTGTTCACAAACCAGACCAGATCAAACCAAATCATTCTCGTTACTCATGTACTAAAAATCAGAGAGATTGTTTCCGGATGAACCATGACGAAAATCGCGTCGAAAATTGCTTGGACTGAGTATTGCTTCATAACAAAGAAGCGAAGACGGTTTAGTGAGCTATTTTACTTTATTCCATGATATTCTCAAGCCAAAAAATAGTGAATCTTTGGCTCGATTGGAAATATGCCACAATAGATCTAAACAAACTAGGCTAGGCTAGACTTGGATAATAAAAAAATTAACATATTATCAAACCAGATTTGTTCAGAGCATCTAAACAAACCAAACCAGCTCAGACTAAATCAGACCAATTTAGTAAATTTCGATCCAATGATCAGTTCCTAAATAAAAAATCTCTAACATCTCACGTTTCAGCTTTCCTATTTATGTACTCAGTTCGCCACATAAACAGTTATAAATGCTACCCCTCCCAATTTTTTACCCAACAAGTTGAGATATAAATGCATGTACTTAACCTCTATATACAATTGACTACGAACAATATGCATAAACATACCTGATAAAACGACCTGGCTCAAAACCAGGAACACCTGGTGGACCAATTGGATCAAAATGAGCACCTGGTGGTATACCCCTGCACCAATTGGGCACTTGGGAGTTAGGAGTCGGCTGAAAGTAGCAATGATTTAGGGTATCTTTGGATGGATAGCTTAGTCTATATCTTGATGAATAGAATTTTTCTGAAAATGAAGAGTTTTTTTTTAATATTGTTATATACTCCGTAACATTACGTCATTCCTTTAAATTTTAGTCTCAATTATATATCAGATATATGCTTAGCAATCCAAAGCCCTCCCAAAACACAACTCCAAAACTAATCCTCAGGTTTAATCCTCACTGCCGATCCCCTTATAGGAACAACTATATTAAAAAAAAATTAGATAAAAGAGTGTAAAGGGGTCTGTGGAGCATGGGATGCCACGAGGAAACGTACTGCAGTCCTCCAGGAAGACCAGCCTCACCACCTATCCTTGGGAAAAAACGAGCATCTCTGGGTCCTGGAAGAAATAAGAGTAACCATCAACTTTAGAAAGACCTACTTCAACATATGAAAACCAAACACCAAGAGCAGTCACAAACCTACAAGCATGCTTCCATAGCCTCCAATATCTCTTCAAGCACAAGGGCCAAAGAACAAACAAGCTCAGTTAGAAGTACCGTTCGAGCAGAGCACTTAAAAATGTAGTTAAAAGAATACTAAAGAACCTGGTAGGGTAAACTCCAGCACCAGGTGCAGGAATAGTATCACTGCCACCGAAAGCAGGGATTGGAGGAACAACATATCTACAAAACCATGAAGAATATTTAATAACACAAAATATGGAAAATAAGCACTCCCATGAAAATCATTCCAGATTATAAACCACATTTTTAGAATGCAAAAATGAAATAAAAATACAAAAAATAGAATTGAAATAATGCAATGGCGTTCACCAAATAGCCCATTGATTCATATTTAGATGCAAGTGAGCAACGAGATGCTGTATTCCATAGGAAGGGTATCAAGTACTTGAGAAAAACATTGGCATGTCGTGTTAACTCACAATGAAGCACTTGAGTACTTAAAGTTAGCGCAGCATGGCATCTAGGTTTACAGGTCAAATAAATCCATACCACCTTTCGGCAGTGGGATCTCAAAATCACATCCAAGCCTTGATCTCAAAAGAGGAAGTATGGATTTATTTGAATCCCACAACCACATCCAAGCCTTGATCTCAAAAGAGTTTGGGAATCACAAACATTTGTCCCAAAAACTTGATGTAAACTCATGTAAATATGGACTTCAAGCAATTCTAAAGGTATATGAATACATCAATTAAAGAACGAACCAGATTATCGCATGTTGACTCAATAATAGTCTACAAAATAACGCAGTTAAGTCAGAGCACAAATTACAATTACAAAATACAATGAGTTCCTTTTTAAAAAATAACCAATCTGTAACACATCAACTAACAGAGTTAATCATGTCTACACTTGATATTGGTTTCACATACGACATACCCCTAAACTCCTTAAAGGATATGAGGGTCAAATAATTCAGCTAAAGTACCTCACCAGGCTGACAAAAGAATATAACAGTACATAATTAAGTTGAACAATTCAAATTCTAGATTGAAATTACCCTGGAGGAGAATAACCCGAAGGCTGATATGAGTCAACATAATCAGGACCATGCGTATCAGCATCATCTCTAATAACTCTCTTTCCAGAACTGTACATGAGATATAGCAAATGAATTCATTAGAGACATTAAACAGGAACGATCAACAACTTTATCTAGCTTAGGTAAAAACCTTTGCATCCCAAATAAAATAACCACTACACCAAGGTCAAATAGCCGAATTGCAGCGGTTCAAGGGAAAATTTACCCTCAAAATTTTGGATTTATGTCCAAACACCAAAGCGACCATTATAATAAATTAAATATAGTAATTATAAATTTTCAAGGCCTATTTATTCCCACTTCAGCCCTGTTTGCCCATATCCACTCTCAACTCTCATATCCTTCATGCAGAGCATGTATCTTGGCTCTTCTTTCTCGACTCTTATTTAATGGTTTTCCTCCATGCACATTATATCTCTCTGCTTTCCTTTCTCATTTCTTGTTTATTAGCTCTCCTTACACGGATGACTATCTCTTGGCTCTCCAATGTCCTTCTCCCTATGAAAGGCATATTTTCGAATCTTATCACTCTCAGTTGTCTAACGGCTCTCTTTTTTTGAAATAAAGGAGAAAGTGGTGGCTTCTATTCTATTGCCCCTAGTGCTGGAAGTCACCTCAAAGAAGAAAGATGTGATCTCTTGATAAGCATAAGCATTCTTCTCGATAAGACTAAAGATCCAGAAAACACAGAAAAACAAACAAAAAGCATATGCATAATTGATACTTCCTCCGTCCCATATTCTGTTGTAATTTCACTACTCATTGGGTCAATCCGGTCAACACACTTTCTTGTTATTCTACGTTTGGCGTATCATCTTTTTACCATAGTCAATTTTGTTTCTTGCACATCAATAGAACTCCTTGACTGATAAGAACAGTTCGCAATCCACAATAGACAGAACGAACTAGAAACAATCTCCAAACGTTATTGATGGCGGTACACAGTACAATAGTCCCAAAGCTAGAGATAGAACTCTAACTTCCCAGTCCCAAGCCAAGCATCTAACAGCCTGCCTAACTCCTAGCTGGTTTATTCTATTTATAGTCCCCTTCACCACAGCCTTAAGCGGTTATTATAACATAACAACTAACCGCTAATAACTACTTAACTACTTCTTCTTTCTAGAATAGACTAAGCCATATCTATTCTTATTAGTCATAGTAGCCGGGGTCCTATCATTACTCCCCTCCTGAAAAACCAGCTTTTCCTCAAGCTTGAAGTCTGGAAACTGTGTCTTCAACACTTGGGCATCTTCCCAGGACCTTTCAAATTCTGGCAGATCTTTCCACTGTATCAAAACTTCAGTGCTGCCATCAGTTCCCTTCCTTGTATCCACCACCTTCTCTGGAGTCACCAGCAATTCCCAGTTCTCATTCAAACACTTAGGCAATGGTTGACATGAAGTGTTGGAAGCTAGAGCTTTCTTGAGTAAAGAAATATGGAACACTGGATGTATCAAGCATTGATCTGGCAATTTCAATTTAAAAGCTACATCATTCACCTTCTCAATGATCTCAAAGGGTCCACAACACCTTGGACTCAATTTATGATTAATTCTCTTAGCCAAACTCTGCATTTTATAAGGCTGAATTTTCAGAAAACCCTTTTCACCCACCTCCAACTTCACCTCTCTCCTGTGTTTGTCAGCTTGCTGTTTCATCTTATTCTGGGCAATAACCAAATTTTCCGTGATTTCTGCTAAAACTCCATTCCTCTCAGTTGTCAACCTTGACACTTCATCAATAGCAGTCATAACCACATCTCCTTTGACAATTGGTTGAGGTTCTTGGCCATATAAAGCCTGGTAAGGAGTTTGTTTCAAGGAAATATGGTAATTGGTGTTGTACCAGTACTCTGCCCAAGGTAACCATTTGGTCCATTCCTTAGGTTTCTTCCCTGTAAGACATCTCAAATAGGTCTCTAAGCACCTATTAACAACCTCAGTCTGTGCATCAGATTGCGGATGATATGCAGTACTGTATCTCAATTGTGTGCCAGCCAGTCTAAATAGTTCTGCCCAGAAAGAACTCAAGAAGATGTTGTCTCTGTCACTCACTATGGTCTTTGGAAATCCATGGAGTCTAACCACTTCTTTGATAAACACTTCAGCTACTCCTTTAGCATTATAAGGATGAGACAAGGCTATAAAGTGTGAAAATTTTGTTAATCTGTCAACCACCACCAGAATAGTGTCTTTTCCCTGAGCTTTTGGCAGTCCACCAATAAAATCCATGCTTATATCAGTCCAAATGCAATCTGGGATAGGTAATGGCTGTAACAACCCTGCAGGTTTCAAGGCTTGATACTTGTTTCTTTGACAAACTTCACAATTCTGTACATATTGGTGTATCTCCTTCCTCATACCCACCCAATAGAACAGTGTTGAGATCCTCTTCATAGTTCTGAAATTACCAGAATGTCCTCCTGTTGCAGAATCATGATATTCCAGAAGAATTCTTTTCACTCTGGGAGAATTCTGGGGTATCATCAGTCTTCCTTTATAATATAACAACCCCTTCTTCGGTCTGAAATCAACCATCTGATCTGGATGACTGAGAATCTTCTGAATGATATCAACACACTTAGGATCTTCCAGTAGCTCATCTTCTAATCCCTCCCGTTCTTGACAATTTACAATTGATAAGGCTGAAAAAACTACTTCCTTGACAGAGCATCAGCCGCTTTATTCTCACACCCAGATTTATACTTAATGATAAAATTGTATCCCATTAACTTGGATATCCATTTTTGTTGATCTTCCCCCATGATTTTCTGCTCACTCAGATATTTGAGGCTTCTTTGATCTGTATGAACCTCAAATTTTCTGCCCAGTAAATATGGTCTCCACTTCTGTATAGCAAACACAATTGCCATCAACTCCATTTCATAAACTGATTTACTCAAATGTTTGGGAGCTAGTTCTTTGCTCAAAAAAGAAATGGGACCTCCCTCTTGCATCAGAACTGCCCCTAACCCTCTTCCAGAAGCATCAGTTTCTAGTACAAAAACTTTATTGAAATCAGGGATTCTTAGAACTGGTAAAGAAGACATAGCACCTTTTAACTCAGCACAAGCTTTGGTAGCCATCTCATTCCATTTAAACCCATCCTTCTTCAGCAATTGTGTTAATGGAGCAGCAATGTGACTATAGCCTTTGACAAATCTCCTGTAGTATCCAGTCAGACCCAAAAAACCCCTCAACTCTGATAGGCAGGTGTCCCAGCCTATTAAATATTTTGATAAAGTGTACAAAAGGAGGAATAAGTAATCCGTTGGGATTCTTATAAGGGGTAAGTTAGGCGGTTATGCCTTAAGTGAAGGGTGACTATAAATAGAAGGGAGTAGAGGGGAGTAAGGTAGCTGAGAATTTGGTTGGCTAGTAGTTGGAGATTGGGCATCTCGAATGGTCCCTGAGATTGTATACCTCTGTGGATTTCTTCTGAATTCAATAAACAATTCCATATACTGTTCTACTTTGATTGTGTGTATTCTATTTGTTCTGTATTGATCACCAGTGTCTATCATTGGTATCAGAGCAAAATTCGTTCCTGGTGACCTCTGCGGGGATCGGAAGTTGTGTCGCAATCTCAGAAATTAGTCGTTCCTGGTGTGGATGGTCAGAACTAGAGCTAAAATGGAGCATCGAGTAGATTCACTGGAGCGCAACCTTCTGGAAGTACGTACGGAGTTACAGATGGAGTTGCGATCAGTGATGGAAAGTATCAATGCATCTATGGCCGCGATGAATGAAAAACTGGCGATCACAGTGGGAGCCAGAGGGAGATCGCGATCGCCGATCAGCCCCGTACATTCCAGAGGTAACTCGGTTCACTCTAATATCAACGATCATCGCCGTAGTGATGTGTATCCGAGAATACCTGTACGTAATGGTAGAAGGATAGATTTACCATTGTTTAACGGGGAAGGAGCCTATAACTGGATTATTAGAATGGAAAGGTATTTCCGATTGAACAATATTGATGATGATGAAAAGGTTGAGGCATCTATGGTCGCTATGGAGGATAGAGCCTTAAATTGGTTCCACTTGTGGGAAAATCAGACTGAAGAAACGAGCTGGGAGGCATTGAAGAAATCTATTATCCGTAGATTTCAACCGGAGATAATTCAGAACCCTTACGGACCTATTCTGAGCCTGAAACAAATTGGGACCGTGCGGGAGTATAGGGAGGAATTTGAAATGGTGATGGCACCACAACAGAACATGGATACAGATTTGCTGAAGGGGATTTTCATCACAGGTTTGAAGAAGGAAGTGAAATCTGAATTGAAACTGTATGCTTCCAAATCCTTACACTGAAACCATGGATAGAGCCATAATGATTGAACAGAAGAATGAGGCAGTCTATTCTAAAAGAAAGGAGGATGACAGATTCATGGGAAGGGAGAGAGGACCCATACCATTGAAGGTTCAGAACTGGGGAGAAGGGTACAAGTCCAAATCTGGAAGTGCTGGCACTTACAATAGTGAGAAAAATGGATCAGGTAGTAGAAATTCTCAGCCCTGGTTCAATACTAAGGGGGCCAGAGTGACAGAGATTCATCCTTCAGGAATAAAGAAAGTGGGCCCTCAGTTGTCCCAGGAGGAGTATCAGGAGAGGAGTAAAAAGGGTCTATGTTTCAAGTGTGGGGACAAATGGAGTAGGGAACACACCTGCAAATTGAAAAATTACAAACTCATTTTGGTGGAAGATTCTGAGGATGAGGCAGAATGTGAAGAAGAAAATGGGAGCAGTTCAGATGAGGAAGAGGTTGAAATGGAATCCAAATCCATGCAACTGTCATTGATGAGCAAGGAAGGCATTCCTTCCTTGAGAGCTTTTAAAGTGAAAGGTTACCTAAAATGGAAGCTAGGAGAACAGGAAGTGGATGTATTGATTGATAGTGGAGCCACTCACAACTTCATATCACAAGGGTTGGTAAATCAATTGAAAATACCCTATCAAACCATTAAGGGATATAAAGTGCAGATTGGGAATGGAGATAGAATAGCTAACAATGGCAGATGTGAAGGGTTAGCTCTGTGTTTACAGAAAGCACTGATACAACAACATTTTTACATCTTGGATCTGGGGGAACAGATAGTGCTAGGGATGGAGTGGTTGGCAAGTTTGGGGGATGTAGAAGTCAACTTCCAAAAGCAGACTATCAGATGGAAGGAACACGGACAGGAGCAGTTGGTACAAGGGGATCCACAGTTAAACTCTTTGGAAGTATCACTGACAACCATGACTCAAATATTACAAGATGCAGGGGATGGATACTTGGTGTTTTGTGAAGGAATATCTGTAGTTCCAGTGGAAGGGGAGGCAGAAGATGACACTTGGAAGCAATTATTGGATGAATTTCCAGAAGTGGTCCAACCTAGGAAGCAATTGCCACCAAGAAGAAGTTGTGATCATGCTATTCACATTCAGGAGGGAGCTTGCATTCCTAATATCAGACCTTATAGGTACCCACAGTACCAGAAGACAGAAATTGAAAGGATTATAAAAGAAATGTTGAATGAGGGTATAATTCAACACAGCAATAGCCCTTATAGTAGTCCTATTCTACTGGCAAAGAAGAAGGATGGGGGGTGGAGATTCTGTGGTGACTACAGGGCTCTCAACAAAATCACTATACCTGACAAGTATCCTATACCCATCATTGAAGAACTTTTGGATGAATTGGGTGGGGCAACCATTTTCTCTAAGCTGGATCTGAAATCTGGATACCATCAGATAAGAATGAAGGAGGAGGATAGGCAGAAAACTGCATTCAGGACTCACGAAGGGCATTATGAGTATTTGGTAATGCCTTTTGGTTTAACAAATGCACCATCAACTTTTCAAGCCCTTATGAATCAAGTGTTGAGGCCATTTTTGAGGAAGTTTGCATTGGTTTTTTTTTGATGACATCCTAGTTTACAGCAGATCAGTGGAGGAACATCAAGAGCATTTGAGGAAGGTTCTGGGGGCTTTACAAGATAATCAGTTGGTGATTAATGCAAAGAAATGTTCGTTTGGACAGTCTAAATTGATTTACTTGGGTCACATTATATCTGGTGGGGGGTAGCTGCAGACCCCACAAAGATTGAAGCAATGACAATGTGGCCTGAACCCAAGGACTTGAAGGGGTTGAGGGGATTTCTGGGACTGACAGGTTATTACAGAAGGTTTGTGCAGGGATATAGCAAGATTGCACTACCTCTAACACAATTGTTGAAGAAAGATAGTTTTCAGTGGGGACCAGAAGCTACCAAGGCTTTTGAGGAGTTAAAGAGGACTATGACTACCCTGCCAGTGCTGGCAACACCAGACTTTGATAAAATGTTTAGAGTAGAGACTGATGCATCTGGGACTGGTCTGGGAGCTGTACTGATGCAGGAAGGAAGGCCCATTGCATATATGAGCAAGGAGTTATCTCAGAGAAATCAGCATAAATCAGTGTATGAGAGGGAACTGATGGCTATAGTATTAGCTGTCCAAAAATGGAGGCCATACCTTATGGGAAGAATGTTTGAAATCCACACAGATCAGAAAAGTTTGAGGTTCTTGACTGAGCAAAGACTGATGGGGGAAGAACAACAAAAATGGACTTCCAAACTAATGGGGTTTAACTTCATTATCAAGTACAAACCAGGAGTTGAAAACAAAGTTGCAGATGCATTATCCAGAAGACCATTCTTACATTCCCTATCAATTGTTACTTGTCAAGAATGGGAGGGGTTAGAAGAGGAATTGCTGAAGGATCCTAAATGTCTGACATTGTTTCAGAATCTGGTTTCAAAGCCAGATCAATACCCAGACTTCCAGAACAAGAAAGGGTTACTCTACTACAAAGGGAAACTAGTGTTACCTAGTGCATCTCCTAGAGTGACAAAGATATTGAATGAATATCACAGCTCAGCAGTAGGAGGGCATAGGAGGGCATTCTGGGTATTTCAGGACAATGAAGAGGGTTTCTAATTTGTTTTATTGGCAGGGAATGAGGAAGGACATAAAGAAGTTTGTGGAGGAATGTCCTACATGTCAGACAAACAAATATCAAGCCTTAAAACCAGCTGGACTGATTCAGCCTCTACCTATTCCTCAAAATATTTGGACTGACATCAGTATGGATTTTATAGGAGGTCTGCCTACATCACAGGGCAAGGACACTATAATGGTGGTAGTGGATAGGTTGACAAAATCAGCTCATTTTTTGGCTCTATCCCACCCTTTTACTGCAAAGGAAGTAGCTGATTTATTTACCAAAGAGATTGTCAAATTGCATGGTTTTCCAAAAACCATTGTTAGTGACAGAGATCGAATTTTTCTGAGTACTTTTTGGTCTGAAATCTTCAAATTGGCTGGAACCCAACTCAAATACAGTACTGCATATCACCCCAGACTGATGGCCAGACTGATGGCCAGACTGAAGTGGTAAACAGATGCTTGGAGACTTATTTGAGGTGCTTGACAGGGAGTAAGCCTAAGCAGTGGGTTAAATGGCTGGCATGGGCTGAATTCTGGTACAATACAAATTACCACAATTCACTGAAAATGACACCTTATAAGGCTCTATATGGGCAGGAACCCCCTACTGTGGTAAGAGGGGATGTCACTTTAACTGCTGTGGAGGAAGTGTCTAAGCTAACTGCTCAAAGAAATATGATACTTAAAGAGTTGAAGGAAAATCTGGAAAAAGCCCAAAATCAGATGAGACAACAAGCTAACAAGCATATAAGGGAAGTGATTCTAAATGTGGGGGATCAAGTTTATTTGAAGATTCAGCCATATAAACTTAAGAGTTTAGCCAAAAGAATCAATCAGAAACTCAGTCCTAGGTACTATGGTCCATTTGAGATAATGGAGAAACTCAGTTCTGTAGCCTTCAAACTTAAACTCCCAGAAGATAGTAAAGTGCATCCAGTGTTTCACATTTCCCTACTAAAGAAGGCCATTTCCCCTACAACTGTTTTTCAGCCTCTACCTAACTGCCTCAGTGAAGAATGGGAACTACAAGTCAGTCCAGAGGAGGTGTTGGACTCAAGGATGAACAAAGAAGGCAAGAAAGAGGTCCTAGTGCACTGGAAGGGCCTACCACAGTTTGAAGACTCTTGGGAACCATTACAAGCTCTAGCAGATCAATTTCCAGGTCTTCACCTTGAGGACAAGGTGAAATTTCAGGGGGGGAGTAATGATAGGCAGGTGTCCCAGCCTATTAAATATTTTGATAAAGTGTACAAAAGGAGGAATAAGTAATCCGTTGGGATTCTTATAAGGGGTAAGTTAGGCGGTTATGCCTTAAGTGAAGGGTGACTATAAATAGAAGGGAGTAGAGGGGAGTAAGGTAGCTGAGAATTTGGTTGGCTAGTAGTTGGAGATTGGGCATCTCGAATGGTCCCTGAGATTGTATACCTCTGTGGATTTCTTCTGAATTCAATAAACAATTCCATATACTGTTCTACTTTGATTGTGTGTATTCTATTTGTTCTGTATTGATCACCAGTGTCTATCAAACTCCTTTAGATCTTTTGGTACAGCCCACTCCATCATGGCCTTAGTTTTGCTAGGGTCTGCTGCCACCCCTTCTGCTGAGATGATATGACCCAAATAACTCAGTTGTTCTTGACCAAAAGAACATTTCTTCTGATTTGCAACCAAATCATTCCTCTTCAAGGCATCCAGAACTAATTTTAGGTGTTCCTTAAGATCTTCCTTGGTTTTGCTGTACACCAGTATATCATCAAAGAACACCAAGACAAATTTCCTGAGGTAAGGTCTCAAAACTTCATTCAGAAGAGCCTGGAAAGTTGAAGGTGCGTTAGTCTTACAGGTGTCACTTTCCTTCATTCAAATTTGATGGTAGCCAGATTTCAAATCCAACTTGGAGAATATCCTTGCTCCTCCCAACTCATCAAGCAGTTCCTCTATAATTGGTATGGGAAATTTATCCGGTATTGTGATCTTATTCAAAGCTCTATAATCGCCACAAAACCTCCAACCTCCATCTTTTTTTCAGGCCAATAAGATAGGACTGCTGTAGGGACTATTATTGTGCTTAATGATACCAGCAGTTAACATTTCACCAATGATTTTCTCTATCTCATTCTTCTGATCAAAAGTATACCTGTAGGGCCTCAGATTTGGTATACTAGCTCCTTGGATGTTTATGGCATGGTCACAATCCCTAGCAGGAGGAAACTTCAACTGATTGGTAAACACTTCTGGAAATTCAGCAATGATGTCTTCCCAAACCTGTGCTTCATTAGTATTCTGCTCCAAACCACACAGCTGCCCCTTCATAATACAGAAAATATCCCTCCCCTTTTTTCTGTAGAATATGTAGCATTGTTTTCACTGGTACCTCCAAATTATTCAGTGCTGCTTCTCCTTGGATACAGTTTACCCTTCCTTGTTGCTTCCACCTTATCACTTGCTTCTGAAATTTCACTTCCATATTACCCAGCTCAGTTAGCCACTCCATACCCAACACAATATCTGTACCACCCAACTCCAGAATATAGTATGATTGTTGTATGATATTGCCTTGCACTTCCAACTTCATTCCATCACATCTGCCACTATTATGGATGAAATCCCCATTGCCAATTTGTACTTTAAATCCCTGTATAGGCATAAAAGGCACCTTCGGCCTTCCACCTATCAATGAAACCCTGTGCTATGAAATTGTGTGTGGCTCCACTATCAATCAGAATGTTCACAGGTTGTTTTCCCTCAATCCAATTCAATACCCCTTGCACCTTGAATGTTCTCATTGATGGAATGCCCTCCTTGCTTAAAACAGAAAGTTGCATTGTTTTAAGTTGTTTAAGAGTGTCTTCCTCTTCTTCAGATTCCAGTAATTCCCCTTCAGATACCCCCCTTCTCCTTCAGATTGTTCTACTAGAATCAGCTTATAGTTCTTCATCTTACAGATATGACCCTTGCTCCAGTCCTCTCCACATTTGAAACACAAGCCTCTCTTACTCCTTTCTTGTAGCTCACTCCTGGATAATCTTGGACCAAATTTACTCATATTAGGAATACTTTTCCATCTGCTTCCACCACCCCAAAGTGTTTGAGAATATGAACTATTGCTCTTACTTAGCCCCTTTTTCTTTCCTTCTTCTTTGTTCTTCATCAACATAGCTTCATTATTTTTTTTCTCAATAAGTGAAGCTTGGTCCATAACCTCAGCTAATGTTCTGGTAGTATACAACTTCAGTTCAGCCCCGATATCCCTTCTCAGTCCCTTAAGGAAAACCCCTTTCAGAACCTCCTCGGTTATATGTCCCTGGGATGCTATGGCAGTTTCAAACTTGTCCTTGTACTCCTTCATAGTTCCTCTCTGCTTTAAACTGAACAAAGGTCCTAACGGATCTTGTACCAGTTCTGGTTGAAAGCGTTTAGTCAAATCCTTCGTAAAAGTCTCCCAGTTCATACGGCGAGCCTGTCCTTCCCACCACTGGAACCAACTCAGAGCCTGATCCTCCATTGCCAGAACGGCCATGTCCACCTTGTCTCTCTCATCAGTCTGATTCAATCTGAAGTAGCGATTCATCCTCACCAACCAACCAAAAGCATCCTCTCCGTTGAAAACAGGCAAATCAATTTTCCGTCCAGCTTGATTTGGATTTCGTTGTCGCCTATGATGATTGCGATCCTGATGCAAGGCAGAGTGATCGGAATTTGTCTCTGAATCTTCCGAACTATCATCCTGCTTCGTGTGTCTCCGCTGAGCCGATCGACGTGAAGTATTCGACTGGTGTGAACGACTCCGTGATCTCTCAGAGGTCCTGTTCTGCATTTCAGCTAAACTGACTTGCATCGTCGTCAATGCAGTCGTGAAATTTGCCTACATATCACGCAAATTTCTCTCCATTTCCGTCATTCTGCTTTCCATCTTCGCTCGCGTCACGGTCATCTAGCGATCAAACGCGCTCTGATACCAATGATAAGAACAGTTCGCAATCCACAATAGACAGAACGAACTAGAAACAATCTCCAAACTTTATTGATGGTGGTACACAGTACAATAGTCCCAAAGCTAGAGATGGAACTCTAACTTCACAGTCCCAAGCCAAGCATCTAACTGTTAGTATATATGTCCTAGCGACAATCACTTTTTAGAGATATATGTACTTGATCATATTCAGTTTTATATATTTGATATATACGGTATTACACATTGATGATTAAGCATTTCGATTGTCAGTGTCTTATTCATAATTGTGTTCCCTTGGACTTATGTTGTCAATAAGTAAGTGGGAGCTTATATGATATCACATAAGGTCCTAAAAAGGCCCCAATCAATGATCATCAAGAATGGGATATTGATGATATGCGATAAGATTGGTATGTGGACTGCATCATACTTTTAGAAAGTATAGTTGATCTCACGACTATGAGTTCATGTAATTCATGATGGTCACATAGATATTTTAGAGAATATTGGCATACCCACCGAGAAACCATTTGATAAGTTCTATTCATGTGTCTATGGGATTATCGGCGTATAGAGTAGTGTAATAGTCCTCCGACTTGAGGTCAATACGTACTACATGTGCAGAGTGATGTACTTTGACCATGACCAACGCTTGCACTCCAATCGGGGTAGATACGGCATGTGTTGGGTGCATCACGAAGCACATGGAGTAGTAGTTGAGCCAAGAAAGGATTCATTCCTCGTAATAGATTAAGAGAGAATATTCTACTTCTCATATCTAGATGGATCATAAAGTCATTGGCCAATGCAAAGATATATTCGTTTTGTATATCGAATATGATCGTTATGGATCATCTAGAGAGATTGAGAGATAGAGACTAAGTTATTGGAATAGACACAATATCAAGTTCCAGACTTAGTTGACTGTTCGTTGAATGAAAGGACCGTATCACTATGAGCTCTATATTACAGGGAGTTTGAATAGTCCTCGCAAACGTCCTTATATATTAAATTTGTCTGGTAAATCGTCTAGGGATTCTACTAAGACCTTAATTTGATTAGTGCTCAATATATAAGGCCCTATGGGTCACACAACAAGTGATTATACCTTCCGATTGAACTGTTAGAAGGAATTAAATATTATTAATTAGATTAAATAATATTTAATTAGTAATACTGAGAATGAATTAAATATTAATTAGAGTAAACATATTTAATTCATGAAGTTGAAGGAGAGTTCTATCCGATAGAATTAATTAAGTATGATAAATTAGATTTATTATACCTAATTAAGGTGTATTTATTATTAAATAAAGTTGGTATTTTCTTTTATTTGGAATTAAAAGAAAAGAAAATGAAATAAATAATAATACTTATAACAAGTAGAGAGTGGCGTGCAGCCACCTCTCTAATGTTATTGTTATTATTATATTATTTTGTTTAATCTACTTATTTAATTAATAAGGGGTATTGGTCCTATTAGGACTAGAACTCATTAATTAGGAAGACTTTCATTGTGATTGAGAAACTAGTTTAGAACTAGTATAAATACACCATTCTCCTTCATAATTCAATATCAGTTTTAAGATTCAGTATTACCGGTTTATTTCCCTGCGAAGAGATTTCCTAGCCTTTCTCTTAGGGAAATCTAACTGTTCTTTCGGAAAGGAGAAATCACGTGGATACCAAAGGTCAAGGATTATCACCGCTAGGCTGGAAGATCTGTAAGTTCTAACTCAGATATGTTATTATTATTATCAGATTCGTTATTTTGTCATAATCAGGGAAGATCTATTTGGGAAAATTTTAAACTTCCGCTGCCATACTTTCGAGTTACGTTACATCAATTTAACTAACAGTGGTATCAGAGCCAAACTGATTTTAATGACATCTTGCGAATTCTTGATGATATTCGTGTATCTGCAATATTTTGACCGGCGATCTTCACACCCTTTTGACCGGCGAAATCTAACAGCAATCAAAGGTCCGTCTTCGAGAAAATTTCGTCTGGCGAGTTTGACGCATCGACAATCAGCGAACACGGGAGATGCATGTGCTGCTGTTTTCAAAAATTCACAAACCTTGTGTTTGTTCTAAGTAATTGGGCGGATCCGGGATCTCCTAACAGACTAGAGTCTCTAGTCTTGATTTATGTTTTTTTAGAAATTAGATTAAATTTGAGGACCCAATTGCAATACCTACTAAGTCCTAGTTTAATTGCAAAGTCCTAGAAATTAGACCAATTTAATGCTATGCTTGGAGAAGGAGTACTGTTTTGGACTTGGTCCTCCTTTGGCCGTATTAACGGTTATTAGAAGGTGTATTAAAATATCCTTTTAAAATAGTAGCTAGATATTAGAATTGGTCTTATTTAATCAGATAAATAATCTTAGAGATCGAATAAGTTTAATTTTGACAAATTTGATTTAACAGATTATTATTATAGCATGCTTATACTTTAATTACTTGGTTATTGTATTTATTATAAATTAGATTTATATTACATGCTTAATTTATCTGTCTGAGTTAGATCTCATCAACATATTATTTGATAATATGTTGTAGCATCTTGATTAAGTAATTTAATACCCGCTAAACGTTCCCCATAAATTAAAAAAAAAATTAAGTCTTATCTGGGATAACGACATCACCCATCATAATTAAATTAGTAGAAATATTTTTTCGTTGAAGAATATTTCACCCAAGTGTTTATTCCATTCGACAAAATATAGAACTAATTTATAGGTACAATTGTTTGTGATCGTGTGATGGTTTTGACTTACTTAAATTAGCTCGAGTCGCCCAAGCGTCAGTGTTAATTTAAGGATGTCGATCATTTAAAAATTGATCAACCAAAAGTTGCTTGGACGCAATTGGTCTGGGGACCTACCTATTATACTATTGCAGTGATCAGCCCAAGCTGGGACTGTAATAGTATGAATGAGGATTTTGGCCACTATGATTGTAAAACATTCCATGTTTCTTTTATTGGGGTCAAAGAGCATGTAAAAATAGTGGGAGCTAAATAATTAAAAGTCCATATTATTTAGTTAACTAGATGTGATCATAGGAATTAATATATGATTTTAATTCCTGTTCTATTTGAACTTCTCTAGGCTTTTAGGAATGTCGAATTTATCATTGAGAAGTATCTTGGATACATGCAAGCTCACTGGACCAAACATTCTGGACTGGGAAAGAAATGTGCGTTTAGTTCTTAGACAAGAAAATATTGAGTATGTGTTAGACACACCGGTACCCAAGATTCCTGATGCTAACTCTCCCGAGTTTGCCACGTTTGACCTGACTGCTCGAGAGAAACACGTTACTGATGCTAAAACTGTGCAATGTGTTATGTTGGCTGCAATGTCTATGGAGTTGCAAAGGCAACACGATAGGATGAGCGCCTTCGAGATGCTTGAACACTTGAAAAGTCTGTTTGATTCAGAAAGTCAGACTCTAGAGTATGAGCTTCTGACAGACATTTTCAAGTGTAGGCTTCAAGAGGGTGGCAACGTGTCTGAGCACGTCCTCAAAATGATTGGCTTAATTGAAAGAGTTGCTACCACCGGAATTAAGTTTGAGGATCGTGTCTCAGCTGCTATCATCCTATATTCGCTTCCGAGTTCATTTACTAACTTCATTGTGAATTATAATTTGAACAAAACGAAAGCGACCATGCCTGAACTCCATAACATGCTCAAGTCTTATGAAGCCTCAACCTCTAAAGGAAAGACTGTTCTTATGGTAAGCTCTAATGCTAAGTCTCGTTCTAAGAACAAGAATAAGCAAAAGAAGAAAGGTAAGGTTGGACCTACTCCTACAGCTCTGAAGCCTAAAGGTGGAGGTCATATGAAGCCAAAGGTTGCAAAGGATGTTTGCCTCTACTGCAAAGAGAAGGGGCATTGGAAGAGAGATTGTGAGCTGTATAAGGCTAATCTAGCCAAAGCACCAGGTGCTTCAAGCTCAGGTATTTTTATCATTAAATAAATATGTCTATAACTAACTCTCATTGTTAAAGTATTAGATACAACTTATAGCTTACACATTTGTAAAAATGTGCAGAAGCCTGAGAAGCAGTGTAGCAGTTGGACTGGGTAAAATTGACCTACGCGTGAAGGCTGGAGCAAAAGTTGCTGCTGAACGTGATAGGATCTTATAGTTTAGATTTGCCCGGTGGTTTTAGATTAGAATTAAATAATTGTTATTTTATTCCTTCTATTACCAAGAAGATTATTTCCATTCATATGTTAGACATTAAAAGATTTCTATTTCCATTTTGCTAATAATAATTGTTATTTTCATAAAATGGTGTTGTTGTGGAAATGCTTTTCTTATGAATGGTTAATTATCAATCGACATATTAGATATTAAATGAATAAAATAAAAGGATCTCGATTAAGTAATCAGAAAAATTACTACCTATCTATGACATTGCAAACTTGGTCAAATTAATGAAACAAGAATAGCAACGTTAAATGAATTAGAATATATAACACCATTTGCTTTTGAGTCATATGGAAATTGCGAATCTTGTCTTTCAAGCAACTTGACTAATAAACTTTTTCTAGGAAAAGGGATAGCAAGCCAAAGAGTACTTAAGTAAAAATTCTGATTTATTTAAAAGGTCAAAGAATTCGGTCATAATGAACTCCTCCAGAACACCTTAGAAGACTGACATTTCTGTAAGGAGAAATAGAGCTTTGTTAGACATGGCTAGATCTATGATGAATTCATTTTCTCTTCCAAACATTCTTTTGAGGGTACACGCTATAAATCTCAATATACATTCTGAATAGTTTGATTAGTGCAAAATGTACTATATGAGTTATAGTATAATAAAAGACATTTTCTACATATATTATATATGGGTTGCCCTACATATGTAAAGAAATGTGCACTAATCAAATTGAAAGCTGAAGTAACATAGAGAATGAAGATTTGTTAGATGGTCTGACGAAGGATTCAGTGGGAGAATTAAGTTGAAGAATGTCTCTAGGAGGATATCCTTCAGCTAGTGGGAGTAATATAGGAAGCGCTTCGCACCAGCAAGTGATTCTTATGAAGAAAGTAATGACATGGTTGTCATTCCTTCTGCACCTAACTCTCCCTCTCTGAGTATAGCACCAGAAAACTCTCTAAGCATTGGATAGTCCAATGAAAGAGAACCTCTTCACGATCAGAATGAACAGCCTGAACAAAACGCAAAACATTCAACTTTGCGGGTCTACTAGGATTCGTCATGAGCTAACTAGGTTAGGCTTCCTCATGGAGGATCATGATGATGTTAAGATTCCTGATACGGATGAACCTGAGACCTACATAGAAGCAATATTAGATGTTGATTTTATAGAGGTGGTGAGAAGCCATAAAATCTAAAATGGACCCGATGTGTATCAATCAAGTATGGAACTTGGTTGACTTGCTTGTTGGGTTAGACCCATTGGATGCAAAATTATTTTCAAGGAGAAAATTAATGATGAAGGCAAGGTGAAAACATACAAAGCTAGATTAGTGGCTAAAGGTTATAGTCAAAGAAAAGGAATTGACTATAGTGATACCTATTCGCCAGTTGCAAAACTCAAGTCCATTTGGATTTTGCTTGTTATAGCCTTGGTTTTAAAAGGCACGAGGCGCCTTGAGGCGGTTTTTTTTATTTACCCGAGGCGCGAGGCGCTAGGCGGTGATGCGCGCGCATCACGGATCTCAGCCACATTTCCCTCGTTAAATATATTTTTAGTACTTCTACATGAAGCACTCTTCTCAAAAATACTTCAAACTATTAAACAATCTTATTAAACATCATAAGAGAAACAAAATATTAATTAAGTTGTATAAAAACTGTTAATAGTAATTTAAATAATTAATGTAATAAACTGTGATAAATTAGTAATCATTTTGTGATAAATTAAATAATTAAGTTATATAAAAACTGTTAATACTTAATAGTAATTTAAATAATTATTGTAATAAGCTATTATATAAAAATTTGTTAAAAAATGTTAATAATAAAAACTGTCATTTTTTGCGATACATTGTTAATAAATCAGTGTTCTAACACTAAAATATATATTATATAGTATTATGATATTATCATTGTTATGCAATTGTAATATACTATAAAATAATACATATTTAATTAATAAACTATCACTCAAATACAATTCTGTAAAATTAATTACACACAGATGTATGGTCAGAATCTGACTTTTTATTCAAATAATTTAGTGTTAGAAGATAAAAACTTAAAATATATTTTTATTCATAGTTAATAATCTGACTGACGTTTATATACAATTCTGTAAAATTAATAACTACGTACGGTCAGTTATCTAACTTTTTATTCAAATAATTTTAATATTTTTATAAATAAAACAACTTAAAATAAAAGAGAATAAATAAAAGAAGATAAAAAAATAAGCAGACTTACCTCTGCGGCTCTGCAAGATCGGAAGCAGACTTACGCGTGATAGAAGGCAGAAGCGCAAGATCGGAAGCAGAGAAAGTCGGAAGGGGCAGAGTTACGCAGATAGGCAGATATATCCGAAGACCAAATTACCAAAAGCAGAAGTAAGGAAGAAGACTAGAGAGACTTGGAGGTTTGGAGTTTGATGGAGTGAGGGAAGCGCACGCCAAGGAACGGTAATCGCCAGAATCCATGAGGCGGCTAAGGCGCTCGCCTCTCAGAAGCGAGAAAGGCGCAAATAAGCGAGAGAAGCGCACGCCTCGTAAACCCTAAGCCGCCTGGCTATGTAAAAGGCGATGACTTCTTCGCCTTTATGCGCCTCGCGCCTTTGTGCGCCTCAGGCGCGCTTTTTAAAACTAAGGTTATAGCTGCTCAATATGATTATGAGATTTGACAAATGGATGTCAAAATCCCTTTCCTTAATGGAAACCTCAAGGAGGAGGTGTACATGCTACAACCTGAAGGTTTTATATCCATATCAAATTCTAATTCAATATGTTAATTGGAGAAATCTATTTATGGGCTAGAACAAGCATCTAGGAGTTGAAATATTAATTTTGATGAAAAAGTCAAACCGTTTGACCTCATCGAATGAAACGAGAGTGCTTGCGTGTTTAAAGTGCGCAACAAGGATAGCATGGTCTTTATAATCATATATGTTGATCATAGAGAATGATATCCCCTCATTGAAGTCCGTGAAAGAATGGTCACCCAAAATCTTCATGAATATCTTTTGTCTATGGTAGACAGAAAGAACTAGTAGAATTTAACTATTCTAGCACTAGTTTCATGTATGATAAGAAAGACTACGAGTCACAATCAGTATATGTTTTTAGTCTCAATGTAATAGTAATGCTAGTAAATTCAACAACTAGAGCCTAGTAAATTGTTGCATTTGATGCAACATAGGTAAGCGTTTAGATCCGTTAGTTCCTTAAAGACATAGGGGTAGTTCCTAGCGACAGTTATCCAATAATTGTTATTGTGACTGTACCGGTGCATTTGCACAAGCTAAGGAACTAAGATGCAAAGTAAGGAACTAGAAAATACCAGTATGCTATCATGTTTTGATAACAAATAGCAAGATGAGAAATTGCAATAGAATGTCTTCCCATTGAGGACAATTTGGCTAGCCCTTTCACCAAACCTTTGAGATACGAGAAACACACTAAACTTTTGAGAGTCTAGGTGTTAGACGCATCGATGATTGGCACTAGGCTAAGTGGGAGATTGTTAGTATATATGTCCTAGCGACAATCACTTTTTAGAGATATATGTACTTGATCACATTCAGTTTTATATATTTGATATATACGGTATTACACATTGATGATTAAGCATTTCGATTGTCAGTGTCTTATTCATAATTGTGTTCCCTTGGACTTGTGTTGTCAATAAGTAAGTGGGAGCTTATATGATATAACATAAGGTCCTAAAAAGGCCCCAATCAATGATCATCAAGAATGGGATATTGATGATATGCGATAAGATTGGTATGTGGACTGCATCATACTTTTAGAAAGTATAGTTGATCTCACGACTATGAGTTCCTGTAATTCATGATGGTCACATAGATATTTTAGAGAATATTGGCATACCCACCGAGAAACCATTTGATAAGTTCTATTCATGTGTCTATGGGATTATCGGCGTATAGAGTAGTGTAATAGTCCTCCGACTTGAGGTCAATACGTACTACATGTGCAGAGTGATGTACTTTGACCATGACCAACGCTTGCACTCCAATCGGGGTAGATACGGCATGTGTTGGGTGCATCACGAAGCACATGGAGTAGTAGTTGAGCCAAGAAAGGATTCATTCCTCGTAATAGATTAAGAGAGAACATTCTACTTCTCATATCTAGATGGATCATAAAGTCATTGGCCAATGCAAAGATATATTCGTTTTGGATATCGAATATGATCGTTATGGATCATCTAGAGAGATTGAGAGATAGAGACTAAGTTATTGGAATAGACACAATATCAAGTTCCAAACTTAGTTGAATGTTCGTTGAATGAAAGGACCGTATCACTATGAGCTCTATATTACAGGGAGTTTGAATAGTCCTCGCAAACGTCCTTATATATTAAATTTGTCTGGTAAATCGTCTAGGGATTCTACTAAGACCTTAATTTGATTAGTGCTCAATATATAAGGCCCTATGGGTCACACAACAAGTGATTATACCTTCCGATTGAACTGTTAGAAGGAATTAAATATTATTAATTAGATTAAATAATATTTAATTAGTAATACTGAGAATGAATTAAATATTAATTAGAGTAAACATATTTAATTCATGAAGTTGAAGGAGAGTTCTATCCGATAGAATTAATTAAGTATGATAAATTAGATTTATTATACCTAATTAAGGTGTATTTATTATTAAATAAAGTTGGTATTTTCTTTTATTTGGAATTAAAAGAAAAGAAAATGAAATAAATAATAATACTTATAACAAGTAGAGAGTGGCGTGCAGCCACCTCTCTAATGTTATTGTTATTATTATATTAATTTGTTTAATATACTTATTTAATTAATAAGGGGTATTGGTCCTATTAGGACTAGAACTCATTAATTAGGAAGACTTTCATTGTGATTGAGAAACTAGTTTAGAACTAGTATAAATACACCATTCTGCTTCATAATTCAATATCAGTTTTAAGATTCAGTATTACCGGTTTATTTCCCTGCGAAGAGATTTCCTAGCCTTTCTCTTAGGGAAATCTAACCGTTCTTTCGGAAAGGAGAAATCACGTGGATACCAAAGGTCAAGGATTATCAGCGCTAGGCTGGAAGATCTGTAAGTTCTAACTCAGATCTGTTATTATTATCATATTCGTTATTTTGTCATAATCAGGGAAGATCTATTTGGGAAAATTTTAAACTTCCGCTGCCGTACTTTCGAGGTACGTTACATCAATTTAACTAACACTAACAGCCTGCCTAACTCCTAGCTGGTTTATTCTATTTATAGTCCCCTTCACCACAGCCTTAAGCGGTTATTATAACATAACAACTAACCGCTAATAACTACTTAACTACTTCTTCTTTCTAGAATAGACTAAGCCATATCTATTCTTATTAGTCATAGTAGCCGGGGTCCTATCAATGACTTTAAAATATAAACTTTACATTCAGTCAAAGTCATACAAGGTACACCACAAATTGCAACAGAATATTAAAAAAAGAAGGAAGTAAACACTTGCAGCTACCACAGTTAAGCTGTGTTATCTACTCGGTGAGTAATCGCATATCAGGGTGGCCATTCCGTTTAACAATCCTACTCAGCCCGTCCTATTTTTCCGTGTTACTCGGCGAGTTTCTTGACTTTGGGAAATTTTTTACTCAGCAAGTCACTCGGTCAGTCATAAAATATTTTGTTTTGGTTAAACCTGAAAAGTTTTAATTAAAGAGGGAAATTATGGAATAATAAGTCTAGGTTTTACAAAGTCTAGGTTTTAAAGTATTGCAGACATCGACTCGTTCGAGCAGTGGTTCCTCCTCATCTCTCGGTAAGTTAGTCTCCTCCATGACTCTATCTTCTTTCTCGTTTCTTCTTCATTCGGATTATTATTATTTTATTCATATCCAAGAAATATAAGAATAATATATTAATATAATTTTGCAAATTTATATTTTTAAAATTAATTAATATAATCGCCGAGTAATCCCGACTCCCGAGTACTTGGTCCTACTTAGGGTTGTTAACGAACCGAGCTTTTATCGAACTATTCGAGTTCGAGCTCGGTTTTGAACCTAACGAGCCGAGCTTAACGAGCTTTTGAACACGAACCCGAGCTGAATTTTAAGTTCGAAAAATTAATCGAGCCGAGCTCGAACATAGTAGTATTCGGCTCGGTTCTAACTCGAGCCTATCGAACACCCTAAAATTATAAAAATAATTTAAAAATTTAAATATAATTAGTATTATTTTATGAATTTAAATATGATTATTAAAGAATCGAATACTTGTCGAACCATTCGAGCCATGGTTGTCACGGCGTCGCCTAGGCGTCGCCTAGTCAGCGACTAGGCGTCTGGGCGGTGGGGGAAGCTCGCCGGCTTCACGGGACTCGCCAGAAGAAACCCAGGCGTGTATGGCATCGCTAAGTCGCTGTGTTGGGGTCAGATTCCTCGCCTAATTCGCAAGTCGCAGAAACTGGGCCAGAACTCTTGACCCAGAAAAAAATAAAAATAGATTCAGGCCTTAATTATTTTAAGGAATCTAATTAATTCGTTTTTAGGAAACTAATTTAATTAAAAGCCAAGCCCATGCTACTCTACCTTACGGACGCCTAATTGCCCAAAGTCGTAGCATACTAGCATCACAGATTAGCAGGAGGCAGACGAACGAAGAAGACGAAGTCGCAGTTCGGTCCGTCCAGTCCGTCGTTGAAGCTTGAAGTCCAGTTGAGTCCACCGATTTCTTATCTAGTCTTATTTTTTATTTTCTACTCTCTAGGTCGGTGTGGTGGACTTATTTTTTTAATAATTTTATTAACTAGGTGGTATATAACTATATATATGTATATCAGATTATTAAAATATGCGTACAGTTACTTTTCTTGAACCCTTTATATTTTTGCGAATGATGAAGTATCAATCAATGTATTTAAATTAATTTATTATATTAATGGATAAGAGCAAGCTTACAAAGAATGGAACTTTCCACATAGATACTGCAAGTATAAAACGATTAATTTATTAAATGATGTGAACATGGTGATAATGATATAGACATTAAGTGATTAAACCATTAATTTAATCTACCGGTGAAGTGGTGATATACTGATATGCTCGTATATTAGTTTAATAATATTCTTAAACCATTAATTGTGGGTTTCAATTCTCAATTATATACATTTTAGTTAGTAATATATTATACAATATATTATTAAATATATAATTATATATGTAAATATATAATTATATATATAATATATAATATAATATACACATATAGGTGACTGGTCGCCTAATTGTCACCTAGGCGGGCGCCTTGTCGCCAAGGCGATATGGCGGTCAGCTGGCGCCACGACTCGACTTACCGCCGTGACAAGTATGATTCGAGCACGAGCTTATTAACGAGCATCACCTAAAATTTTAAATTCGAGCATATTTATCGAGCTTATCGAGCGCTCAGATCGAACATCAAACGTCTATTGAGCCGAACACGAGCCTCATTTGTAAAGCTCGCCGAGCTTCGAGCTCGAACCCGAACACCACTAATTCCTTATCGAGCCGAACTCGAGCTTTGGGTGTTCGGGCTCGGCTTGGCTCGTTAACAGCCCTAGTCCTACTAGCTACTCGGCTCTAGACTGAGTTGCTACTGAGTAGCAACTGAACTACTTAGTAGTTATTAGTTAACAAAGTTGCAAAAAATGAAATTGTTTTCACATGATTTCATTTTCCAATGTAGAAGATTTTCACCTTAAATAAAACATGGTCCCATCAGTATGAGAAACTTTCCATTTTAACACGTTTACCAATGTCCCATTTGAGCCCATGCACCTACACTGAGGTCTAAACCAAAGCATATAAATCTATGTCTAAGATCCACCACTTTGTCACTTTGTTTTTCTAGAGAAACAATGTTGTCCCAAGCTATAGCAATCTTCTAGAAAGAAACCTACACGCTGAGCGCGAGTAGAAGGCAGACGCCCAATTTTAGTCAAACAAGCAACAAAAATTGGTCACCCACTCCACTCTGTCGTCTACTGTCCTAAATCATTCAGGCTATTTAAAACACTTTTTAGGCTGAGAGTGTGTTGTTTTATTTATACATTTTTCCTTGAGCAACAATAAGTCAATAACAATAGTACAATACATATACGCTACATGAAATGTGAGATATTTGATGCTATCATTCACAATCTTTACTTTTATCTCATCCTCATTGAATTGAGATCAACTTTTCCTATAAATTAGTATTAGTAAATAACATGAAGTATACATTAAAATCATGTTAGAACCTTAAATATTTAATTTAAAAGTGTATGCCATCTTGTAGGCGGCAGTCCACTGCCCCCTGGCACCCAATGACTTCTATATCACAGCTTCAATCATCAATCCAAGCTCCAGGTTTACGTAATTGCTTAATGGTTTGCACTCAAGAAGCCAGTGGCAAACAAATAGGGGCGCAAACAAATAATTTTACAGGTAGGTTTAATTACTCCAAAACATTAAATATATAGTACTAGTATGTATTATGTTTACACCATCGCTCCTCCAGCCGTAAAATCTGTCTGCCACTGCAAGAAGCACTATGGAGTCTAAGTGTATGAAGGTGAACAATTATATCTAATTGATTCATGTCTTGATCCAATGTTCTAAACCATCAATACTCAGCTCAAGGTTTCCTTAACTACCGCCAACTGTTCAGAACTCAAATCATTATGGAGTTGAAGCTTTGAGAGTGAGTGGTATTATAAATGGGACCTATTTACCAATGTTATCAAAATAGAATCCACAATTCAAACATTTTTTTACTATGTTAAATTGGACACTACAAACATTTTTCAATTCGAAGAATGAACGTCAAACTCCATTGTTCCGATTTCATCCTCTGTTTTTCAAGAAAATGTAAAATTTCTAATCTTGTAAATAAAGCCCTAAAATCCCCTATTTTGTTCGGCTTTCTTTTCCCCCCAAAAAAAACAAATTCCAATCGAACTAAAAATGATAGACCAATGCAAAAGCTCTCCCATGCCAAATGGGCTGAGGTATGAATAAAAGCATGTCCTCTTAAACAAGCAATTAGAAGACCAACTAACATTTACCTTGATGCTTGAGTGGAAGATTTCACTGCTGAAGAGACCTTGTAATTGTTTGAAATTTTTGTTGTAATTTCTTCAACTAGCTTACTGAAATTCTTATAGTGGGTTTCGTAATCGGCATCTCCGTTATCAACATAGTCCTGAATGCTGCACATTGCCAACAATACCAATCCCAACAGTTTATAACTGAATTATCCATATGCCTAATTCACTGAGAGAAAAGAAAGGAACTTGCAGGAACTTACTTCAGTTCGAGATGATGACGCTCATTATCACCCTCCCCCAATGCATCAACAAGGAGTTTGTCATTCATTGCAAGGCACTTAATTAACACCTTCTTTGACCTTCTCTCACGGTGTGAATAAATGAAGGCGTATTTATCCTCAAAATCATTCCAGTGATCGATACCGACCTCACCTAAACAAGCAAAAAATAGTAAACCAAACCCTCAACCCGCAAAGCAAATTCGAATTGCAAATACTTGTTCTAGAGGATATTTACCGCTGGAGGATGAAGAGAAGGGATCATCACAAAAAACAGGGGCGCCAGTGGCGAGGGTAACAAAGCCAGAAGCAATAAATGAAGCGTGGACGGCAAAGGCCACCTTGTCATGAGGATTTCGGAAGGTGGGCCTCTTTGACCTGATCACAATCATCGCTGCTTCTTCGACCTCCATGCTACTACAATCAAGATTCGACGTTCAGGAGATTAAAGTAGGGTTTAACAATGTGATCAAAACGGTGCTTGATACAGTATGGTCAGTCAAAATCATATTCCTTGGTCGGTTTTAAACAGTGTACTGGCCGGGCACACAAACGGCTTTGCGAAATATAGGGAAGGTCTGCGGTACATACCTGACGATCTGTTATGTGTTATGGGAGATGGGGGAAGCCGAAGGTCTGTCCGGAATATGGAAGAAGGTCTGCTGCGCGGATACGGAAGAAGGTGGAAGGGTATGGTTGAGAACTAAAAAATTCCCTGTAATTATGTTGTAATTCAATTTGGCGAAAATATTTTTAATTTTTCCAAATTTACTTTTCTTACTCGATCTTTTTCTTGGTCAATCTCAATTAACTTTGATCAATTATATTTTTTAATACAAAATTATTTTGAAAATGAAAGTTATATCAAAATGTTCTTTATTCAAAATATTTTGATAAAAGTATGAAATTCGTAAATTATATACAAATATAATAATTAAATTCATTGTCCAAAGTTTTTCTTCATTGATCGAGAAAAATCAATATGTCAAACCTTTTTGGGACGGAGGTAGTACAATATCTATAGCTATATCTATATATATATATATATAGAGAGAGAGAGACAGAGAGACAGAGAGAGAGAAATGCTCAGATCCGAACTTTCGAACGAGAGCCTCCGTCCGAACACCGCCTTTTGGGCTGTTTCCCATTTGAATTTTTTATGAAATTTTTAGGATTTGTTTTTTATCAAATCTAGTTTATCCATAAAAAATTTCAGCTCAAAATTCGATCGAGAAGGTCTTCAAATGATTTTTTGAAGTTGACTGCGTTTTTCTATGTCTAATTTAGCGAAGTCAACTTCAAAAAATCATTTGAAGGGCTTCCCGATCTAATTTTGAGCTGACATTTTTTGTGGATAAACTAGACTTAATGAACAACATATCATACAAATTTCATCAAAAACTTCCATCCGGAACCACCCCAAGGGCGGTGTTCGGATGGCGTTCTGACAAAAAAGTGCTGGACAGCCGCACTTCTCCGACCTTTCTTACCTTTCTTACTCTTACGCTTCTTCTTTCTTGATCTCTTCTACTTCCTATTCAATCTGCACTCTAGAGTATTGTGTTCAAAAATGAAAAACCATCTTCTTTTTCTCTTCAACTTCCTACTCATTTTGGACTCCAAAATATTATTTTCAAAAAAAATTGGGACGAAATATTTGATTTAGCCGATAACTTTGGACTTACTTTGGACTTACTTCCGCTCAAGCCTTGGAGAGTCCATCTCGGTTAATATTTTATTTGAATTCAAACTCTTTATACTTCGTATCTATATAGATGTCATCTCTATTGATTTTCCGATGGCTGATTGTGCTCCCTACAAGGCCGTTTTGAAGAATGTTAATATGCAGTTGGACGACAAGGCTATGTTGTTGTGAGAGTAGTACACGGATGGAATGTTCATAATAAAGGAAATTCCTCAGAGCCGTATATGATTGAAATGGTTCTCATTGACGAGGAGGTACAACTCTTATTCTTCTTCTTTATTATTGAGTGTATTTTTGAAATTAATAACGAGTCAATTTGAAAATATAAACTCAATTGCTTTGAATTTGAGATGGAGTGTAAAACTATTCAGTTCTAGGATTCTCAGTTTTTAGTGCATTTAAGGTGTTTGTAAAAATGTCACATTCAGATTTTTAATTATAAATGGTAGTCTTGATTATAGAGCAGAGTCATATGTTGCATTAGTAATTAGCTTTAGCTCCTGATTCTATGCAGTTTTAGCAGAGCAGATTATTAAGAAAAATTAAGGACAAAAACACTTCTGCATTTTTCTTTTTAAACCATGGTTTAAAGTGGTTTCTCATGAAGAGAAGTTTCCAAGTTAAAAATGCAAATTCTCCTTATTTGCAATTACTGTGCTCTGAAATCTAAACCAGCTTCTATAAGGTGTTAGGAGATGCATACCAGTTCTTTTGATTAAGCTATGTGATCAGGGGCGGAGCCATGACACTGGACCAGTACAAAGAATATTTTTAGGAAAAAAATTACACGAAATTTTTTACCTTAAAAATTAAGTCATTTTTTAAATTTGGGGTGGGTCATGGCCTAGGTTGGCCCACCCCTAGCTCCGCCCATGTATGTGATAATTACTACTAAGGAGTAAAGGAGGTATATATTTTGTGTGTGTATTTTGTGTATATGACTATTTGCACCGTCTTCCATTCTAACATGTACATTTCTTAATGTTAATCCCTGCTTGACTCTATTGTTTGCAAATTATAACGCAAAATTGTACACTTATTAATGTTAATTACGTGTATTTTGAAGTTCACATTTCAATTTGTTTCATAGTTACATCTATTTCTTTGACAATTTATAATAATTTAACATGACAATTAGACACACATGACAAACAATATAGATCTAAGAGATCTGAGTAAAAATGGAAAAACCATGCATTAGGAGAGTATGAGTAATTTGAAACTATGGATAATCTTGATATATCTTCTCTACAATTTCTTTTAATGGCACCGCAGGGTTGATCTTGATTGTTGACATTAGGATAATATATGGTTTCTTTTCCTTGAGTTAATTTTTACAGTTAATGGATTCACATTTTATTTTTATTCAAACTTTTAAAAAAAGTAAATATTTTAGCATTCTCAATGACCGCTCCAACAAATTGAGAAGTTTTTCTTTTTCTTGTCTTTCTATACTTATATGAGAGTGATTATATATGATGTTTTTAAAAGAGAAGTGAATTTTAATACAACATTGCATTGGTGAGTACTTCAATATAAATTTACATATCCGGATGCATTATATGCTATTCTTCATGAAGGAGGATTGCTTCTGACACTCTTTGCTAATTTATTTTGAACTTATTCTGAATAGTAACTATGCGATAATTACTGCTAAGGAGTAAAGGAGGTATATATATTGTGTGTGTGTATGTGTGTTTTGTGTATTTGGTCATTCGGAGTAGGTCTGGCCTATGTGGAAGGCTCCTATAGCATGTGGTTATATTTTTCTTCAACTATGAGAATACCCTAACTAATAGATCATCCTGTTGTTTTCTTCTTTTGACAGAATAATATACCAACATCCTGCTTCCTGTTGTTTTTTGACAATTTGAAAAATAGGCTTAACCAATTTTAAGTTCTAAAAATATACAATGAATGATTTAATTAATCTGTGAAGACTTTGGTTAGTATTTTCTTCAAGTGTGAAAGGACCCTAACTAATATACCTACGAACTGTTTTCTTTCTTTTTTCCGACAAACATTGGGAAGTTGTAGCGCCTGTTTTTTTGACAAACTTTGAACAAAAAACAAGCTTAAACAATGGTTTTTATTTTTAATATTCATGCAGGGAACACACATACAAGCTACAATTGAAAATGCTCATGTTTCTACCTTTAAGGACAAAATTAAGGAGCATGGTCTTTATGGAATGATATGTTTTGAAGTTAGGGCTAATAACGGTGATTACATGCCTACTCTACATCATTCCAGGTTATATTTTAAGGAGAACACAAAGATCAAAGAGCGTGATCTTTCGTTAGAGACAGAATTCCCAAGGGATTTGTATTCAATAAAAAGTTTCACCGAGATTACAAACGCACAGGAGAGCCGGAGATGACTTATTCGGTAATAACGCATAACATTGCATTTATTTTTAAAGGATTTATCCTTGCAGAACTCATTTTTTTTCCTTCTTCGGTTTTTAAAGATACAATTGGAAAGTTTAAGTATTACACCATCAAATATTCCTTGCAACCAGATGAACTGCCGTGAGCAGCAGAATTTATCCTAGAAGATTTGGAGTATAACCCGCGCATCAGAATAATCTTTTAGACGTAATTATTAATTTATATGAGTTGCTAAATATTGCATTTGTTGTTTTCATATTTTTATCAACATTAAAAAGCATTTGTCGTGTACAGTATGGAGTGAGTATGCTCGAGCTTTGAAAAATTTGACCTTGACTTCGACCGAGCCACACGTCATGCTTCTCCAACTTTGTAGAGCAAAGATCAACTATGGTAAACAGTTGTAAATTGATTGTGTAATCTAATTTATGTATTCTCTATACTTAACACAATAACAAATTTAATATTATAGGTGAAGTTATTCTTGCAAACTCAATCTCCTGTACAAAGGTTATAGTGGATGAGAATATCCCTGAAAATCTGAAATTGAGGACTTCCGTAATAAGTAAGCCACTTCTCCTCCCTATTTGATTTAATATAGATTGATAGCACTAAGTTAGCACTAAATATATAATACATAGTATATATTAAGTGACTTAATATGTATATATATATATATGTGAGAAAAATTAGAATGCTTTTTTTATGCAGATTGTTGGAAAAAATATTAAAATATTTGTACTTGATAAAATGAAAGTAACCAAGAAATCACATTCATATTTACATATTTGAATTTATATATACCTTTAACTAATAATTGATTATTAGTTTTTTTAGTATGTAATAACTGACTATTTACCTTTAAGGTTGAGGCTTACCAACATCCGGTAGCTCTTGATGAAACCACGGTGGACACCCTTAATGTGGCGGTAACCGAGGTCTCTCATCAACCGGGCACCCCCGATGCTGGCATAGCCTTGTTTGAGTCCTGGAATGGAAATGATAAGATTGGAAATGATGAGATCCTCTCTGATCCAACGCTTGAACGTGCAGATACTACACCTGTCCCAATCCTGTCCAGTGATGAAACTTCTTCTGAGGATACCCAAATGAAAATTTCTTCTGTTTCAGGTCACGAAGATAATAATACAATCAATGAAGGACATCTCGAATGTTTTACACAGGTTCAAAGAAGAAGATGCAAAACTATTTCAATGAACCCACCAAACGAAGTCACTGAAGACGAACAACTATACTATGAGGTAGGATACTCATCTCATCCCATGATCACCAGAAGCCAATCAAAAAGACCGCAGAATGAATCAGACTACTTTCTCTACCCTGTTGACGACAGGTTCGACTCACCGCATAAACTAGCAACAGCTCTACAGCGCTTCAGGTTATCTCGTCCGGAGGAAACAACATTCAGGCCGTACCTTAAGAGGGCCATCAGGTTCCATAACAAATACAACAGATCGATTTCGGCTTCAATTGGGATCCCCCAAAATAATTTCAATTGTTGATGTACCTTTTTTTCTATTTCTTCCTTTGTATTGTACTTCATGTTCACCATTTGGATTCTCAACCTTTGTAATCAAACTTTATTTTAATAAATTAGGGAGGTGTTCCCCGGCACTCCCCCCCCACCTCGTGTGGCTTTAACCGGGGGAAAAAAATCTTTAAGGTTGATAGCCGCCTCCCAGCCTTCGTCATCTACAAACTGCACCGGATTTTTTATAGATCCTACATTAGTGAAACCAATGACTGAATTGCTTGCAATTACTCAAGTTATCCGATTTGAATTTAATTTGACTCATGCTAAGTTCCTCTTTATACTTCGTGTTAAACATATTTTAATGTTTGGGGTAATTTAGAGGTCTCAATGTTGGATTTTTGTAAAAATCACAAATACTCTCAATCGAAGAGCTTGGTCCTATCAAGGGTGTGTAAAAGAGTGATCTTGTTGATCTAAAAAGGCCTCTAATCACGGTGAGAAATTTTGGTGCTCTAAATGCAAAGAAGTGTTCGACCAAAGAATATATCGATACAAGATTACCGTTACCGTGAAAGATTTTTTAGGCCCTGTTACGTTGTGCTTGTGGGATCACGAGTGTCATATTACAAAATTCTCTTTTGATTGTTTTAGTATTAACATCTTTATTAAGTTCTTATTGATGTATTTATTAAGTCCCTATATGCGTGAGGATAAGTTGCAAGAATCATAATTGTAAACTCACTTTTTATACATGTTGATTTTTTGTAGGACTACTATATTGATACATATTAAAATATAACCTACAAATTAGTTGATAAGTGCATACACTTGCATATAGTCAACAATGTGAATTTTAATTTAATTAATTGATTGGGAAAACTCAAGTGATTTACAAATAATTTCATAATTCCTAATCTCGTGCAACGCACGGGTGAACGACTAGTTAGTTCTAAGCACACCCACTTTCTTTCGTAATTAGACAACTTTAGTACGTATGTATGCTTGATGCTTCTCATTGTTTTCTTTTTTTTTTTTGTTAAATTATAATCATTACACGGTTATGGAAACAATTTACTAAAATAAATCGTTTTTGTATTACTTAACTTAATTGTTTGTATAATACAATTGGCCTCATCACTTGAAAAGTTAACCACATATAAAATACCCCCAAACTTTAGAGGGTTGTGAAATAAAACATTAAAATTTATAAAATAAGTTATTTTAGCACCATAATCATATATTTCTTCTTTCACAAATGTACATTTGTGATGTTAAATATATAATTTAAATACAGTAGGCATTTTTTTGTTGCAAAATAATTTTAACTCCTTTCTATTTATTGCAACACTTTTATTTTGATATTTGCAAACAATTACTTTGACTATTAACACATTCAATTGACATTAGTATACAATTATAAATGTCATTTTTTACAAAGAAAATGAAATTTATTAAAAATTAAATATGAAGAGTACAAAATGATGAAAGAAAGCTAGTGAAACAAAGAAAGCAAGTGAAACGAAATCACTGAACAATCCAAAAAGGCTCTGCAAATCCACCACCAATCAAAGCACCAAAGTAAACGAAAAGCTCCTCGTCAAATTATATTAAGTTGCCCGAAAGAGCGACCCTATGTGTTAGCCATTTTTTTAGCCTTGAGTCGAGCACTCCGTCGAGGTAGCAAATTAGAACTGGCCGAGTTCCATTTAGTGTCAGCAACGCGATCTAGCAGCTCACAATCATATTTTAATATTTTAATTTGGAACAAATTTTATAATATTTTACTTAGGACAATTGCTTATATCATTAATAAAATAAATACAGTCAAAGTAGAGTGTCAATAACGTAAAAGTTAAAGTAGAGTGTGTAAATATAAGCTAAATTGTTTTAGCTATTGAAAAGGAACAAAGTCCGAGTACATTGTATGTGATCGGAGGTAATATTATTTAATTCACAAATGAAAGATGAGAATGTTAACTTCATCATCATAAAGTCTTATTGTGTTTTAGATTATATACTTAACAACATATAATTACATTTGAGAACATTTGAGAAGAAAAAAAACATTTGGTCATGATGCTAAGATAACTTTTCGTATAAAGTTCAGGGTATATACTCCGTATATCATATATGCAAGGTTACCTCAAACCAGGGGCGGACCTCCCTATGTTCAAAAGTGTTCATGTGAACACTCAAAAATTTTAACAAGTAGTTTAAAAATACATAAATATGGGCGCTAGTGTAAAAGTTTATATATGTATTTGAACATCCAAAACTTATAAAATAAATTTGAAACTTCAAAATTTATGTACAAGATCTGCCACTGCCTCAAACCCCTATAAAGTTTGTGGAATTTAAAATATTTTTTCCATCTATCTATTACGGAGTAATATATTTGTTTTTTAAATAATTGTGACATGTAGAATTTTACACTATTCATATGTTTTACTTTTACTATACTTTTTTATTAATTTATCAGAACTTCTATTTTTGAGAAATAATTTTAAATTCTTCTCATTCAAAATATAAGAAATTGAATTTTTTCAATTTTTATGAATAGGAAATGAAATATATTATTGATAATGGATTAACAGTTGTGCTTTGAGTTGGTAAGTGTGGAAATTGAAACGTTGCAACAAATGAAGAATGAATGAAATAATAAACAACTATTTCATCCGCCTCATTGAGATTGTCTCATCTTTCTATTTTGATCTGTCTCATTAAAATAGTCTCATACTCCGTATCAAATTTGTAATATCTCATTCAAAGTCAATCTTAGTTGATTTTAATTTATCAATTGAAAAGCAGCCATATAAACTCACTTTTCCTGGTAATTGCATCACCCTGGTGCACCAATATTAGGAGGCAGAGGTAGTTGTATAAGTTTTCTCTTCTCTTTTCAAGCACATAATTGTATTGTCACATACAACGCGCAACAAAAACTTTTTACCCACCCTTTTACTTAAATCTACAACTTTGTCATTACAACTTCACTGAGGGGTATTATTTTTTGCTGCTAGTCTCCTACGGTAAAAGTAGAAGATACTTTAGATATTTTATCCCATTTTCTTATTTTACACGCTAAAAAGTGTCATTATTAATTTGTGATGAATGTAGCATTACATAGTAATTCTTAACTATATTTCTCTAGTTTTATAGTTTTATAAAAGGGAAAAATAATTACAATACTCCAAACTTTGATGAGGTGTGAGATAAGTGTTGGGTGTGTTTCGAAAAACAAAGAAATAATTAATAAAAATTAATTAATTCAAAATGACCAAAAGAAAACAGAAAATAGATGGGACAGAGATTAGCCAGAGCTCGTGCTACGCACGATGTCCTTAAAACGTATTCGTCGCCTCCGACGGTGCTAGGAGCGTTGCAACGACCGTTTCCCAGGATACAGTGGCTAACGAACTAACGTTTGAGCACGCAAATGAAAGTTTCGACGAACGAGAACAAGCTAGAACACTTAGGAATTTTTTGGAGTAGCTGGAAGTGTTTTTAGAGCTAAAAACCACGTGCAGATTGCACGTGACCGTGTATGATTGTATGTTTTGTTGCAAAGCACCTGCCAGCTATTTATAGGAGGATTTGTGATGTGTTTACCGATTTTTAATGGACTTGAACGTTGCACATAAATGTCCAGCACGTTGGGCATTAATATGTCGAAAACTGTCCATTTAAAGATGCATTAAGAGACAAGAACGTTGGGCATTTAAAGGCTGTAACGCCTTGGAGCAGTTCTGGTGCGCGACCAGAATACCCTCACCACAACTTCTCTCTAGTCTTCTGTTGAAGACTCCAGAACTCCTTTGTGGTCTTCTGTTCGGAAGCCACAAGAACACCTCATGGTCTTCTGTCCAGAAGCCACCAGAGATCCTCTCAGGTCTCTTTTGGTCCGGAGCAGTTCTGCCGCTGTATCTCTGAATGATAGATTTTCGGACGACATTCGTGTCTGCAGGTCGCCCGCGCACACGAGTCGCAGTTTTTCTTCTCCGTTTTCGAGATTTGATCGGCACCCCCCGCGCGCGAAGAGAGCCTTTCCCCGTAGGAATCTTAACTCCTTGAAAGAGGTTTCTCTTTATAAGAGGGTGAAAATCTCTTGGGTTTTCCGGTGTGGGATAAATCCTACTAGAAACCTATCATTTTTCTAGTTTTTCCATTATGACGAGTGAACTTCGAGAATCAATTTTTCATTCACCCGTTATCCGTTTTGAGTGTACCATATATCGAATTGTAGCCCTTAGCAAGCACAATCTGAAAACCACTTTGACCTGACCCAAATCAAAAGTGAAACCCACTCAAAATATTGCCCCAAAATGACCATTTAATGCAATTTTTAACACATTTTCCAACAATAAGCACTCCAAACTTGCATATGTAATTTAAATACCCTAAACTTTATATAAAAAATTATTTTAGCACCATGTTCATGTATTATATTTTCAAGACACGGGGACATTCCGTCCCCATGAGCACCTAGAGGTACCCCAAAATGTACCCCATTTTTACCTCACACCATAATGTGTGGCCATAAATGACCAGGGGGTAGGGACAAACGTCCCCGCATCTTGAAAAAAATAATACATGGTCATGGTGCTAAAATAATTTTTTATATAAAGTTTAGGGTGTAAATTACAAATGCAAGTTTGGGGTGCTTATCTCACACCCTATCAAAGTTTGGGCTATTTTAATTATTTTTCCTTTATTAAATTATATTGTATGTACTTCCTTTACTCTAATTCTAAATTGATCGTACAATTGAAAATACTTATTGAATTTGTCCCCTATAATACATGCGAAGAAGATGTCACATTGCAAGTAAAATATGGACAATGAGAATATTGTAAGGCTTTTGTTCTGAATATTAGTAATACTGGGACAATTGACACAAAAGTGACCCTTTTTTAAAATTCCAAAATGTGACTAATAATTAATAAGCCTACTTATTTACCCACTTTTCATAGTGATTTGCTACAGTGACATGAGATGCAGTGACATCCACCATCACCCACCACCTCTGACCGGTGACCGCCGCCGGCCGGAGACTGTCGCTGGCCATAGTGACAATGACGTAGTGACACTGTCACAGTGACGCTGCAACAGTGACGCAGTCGTAGTGACACGCTGCCGTAGTGACGCCGCCGTAGTGACTCCACTGTGAACCGCCGCCGCCGGCCGGAGACCGTCGCTGGCCATAGTGACAATGACGTAGTGACACTGTCACAGTGACGCTGCAACAGTGACGCAGTCGTAGTGACACGCCGCCGTAGTGACGCCG